CCTAATGTTTATGTTGATACTTCCGCCTGGCTTCCTCGATACTATCCCCCAGAACTTGTTCATTATATGATGACGTATGGACAGGATAAAGTTTGTTATGGTACTAATTTCCCCCAACTCAGTTGGAAAGCTACGATGGAACAAGTGGATGAATTGGGTTTGAGTCCTGAAATAAAGGATAAATTTTTATATGGAAACATGGCAAAACTACTCAAACTAGAAAGCAAAGCCAAACTGTAAACTGTGTATTAAGTCATTGTCAATTTAAACATTAAATGGGATATGCTGCAACAAAACCAGACAAGGTAAATATGTAATGTCACTCGGGTATCAAACTTAAAGTTTTATTTTTACATTCACTTTACCCAACTTTTAATTATTCAAAATCCACCATATAAAATAATTGCAGTAAGCAAGCCAAAAGTGTAAGTTTTTTACTTTCTCTTTCTAATTGATCTCCCTTGTTGGGCAGCTTTGTGCTTTTAGCTTTGAGTTTACATTTTTTGCTTGACTCAATAAACATTAGAATTCTGTAATTTCTAGTACATTTATAGGCTGGCATTATAAAATTTTATCAATACCAGAAAAGCTTTCAATATATTCATCATAAACAAAGCATCAATAAAGATATCAAAATCGGGATGATTATTTTTGATTCATTGTCAGCAATATTATTTCTTACTTTGAATTTTCCAGTTTTTGAATTGATAATTCAGTACTAGGAAATTTACAAAACTGCTTGTCATTTTCTTGTTTTGTTTCTAGCACTGACAATAACCAATTTGTCAACTAAGCCTTTTTTTTAAAAGCTAATAATCTGCAGCAATGGAAATAAAAGGAATAATCAGGGCTTTTAAAAAGATTCTGCAGTCATTTTTCTACTTTCTTGGCAGCTTTTATCTTTCAATGTTTGTTGAAGAAAAGGCTGTTTGATATTTTCTCCACTATGCTCAATGTATTCTTTGGGAGATATTGAAACCATTTTTGTCAAAAAAAGGATTGCTTTTTTATGCCAGTCTTTTCATTAGCAATAAGTCACCAACTTTGAATTGGCTGGTTGTAAGATTTATCTAGTCAGCAAAAAATTTTGAGAGGTCAACTTTTGAGTTTAGCTTGTTCCTTACACAGATAGAAATAAGCAATTTCGGACTCAATTAAACTGTTGATTTTGTCTAGAATGCACAGAGATATTCTGGTCGTGAGTTATAAGCCGGCAGGTATTGACAACTCCCGGTTTTGGTTTATCTCTAAAAATTAAAACTTCTGATGCTCAAGTGGCTTATGGATGGTGTCTTTTTAAAAGTAAGTAATGCACAATCACGCATTACACTTTTCAACTTCGGATCGGTAATTAACTAGAAAATCTCAAAAGACGTGTCGTGAAATTGTCCACGGTGGTTTTTGAACCGAATTGGTACACAGTGAAAGTCGATATAACGGACTGTTCAAGACCAGCGTTTAGTCCTAATATCGACTAGTGAATATTATTTAGTAAAAATTCCGTTCCAGATAAAAAGTCCGTCATATCGGCGGTCCGTTGTGTTGGCTTTCACGGATTTATACCAGTAGAGCTGCCATTGAATTAAAAAACTCAACAGGTATGTATTTTAATTGAGAAAAACGAATATTTACATGAACAATCATTAATTAATTCAGTTGAACTTTATCAACTAAAAGTTAACGTTTAAGGTACAAACCTTGTATTTTTTGTTATTATACGGTACAACTTTAACTTACTAAATTAAATCTTTTTTAGAATATTAAAACTGAATGTTAAGTATGGATACATTCGCAGATAAAGTAAGAGTGATATTGAGAGTAGAGGGAGTAGAAGTCCGCCGTTATAGGTAAGAATTCTTACTGAGCATTTGTTGAGTTGTCATGTGTCTGAAGTCACTAGGTGTAAATCGGAGAAATTGAAAGCGCTTCGTGGCCGCAGCTTGCGAAAGTCGCCAGTCAGGTATCCAGTCCTGGCGTACGGTGGGCGGCCTGCTGTGAACGTTCAAATCTTCGTTACCGAAAAGTTGCCGTGCCCCGCCAGAACTGTGGTGAATAGGATACATGATATATTATACCGTGCGCCACCAGATAATATATCTTGATAATGATGATACATATACTCACTTTCGATAATTTAATAGGCATGAACCGGGGGATGGTGGTGTAGATTTAAGTGGGGGTTTTAGGGAGCGCACAATATTAATGCAGCGTAAGGTAAATAATATTGTTTTTCTTCCTTTTTATTTCTTATCTATGCGTTAAAATAATAAATTTCTTACTTATATATTATTATTATTATTATAGGGGGGTATGAGAGTAAGAGTAGGAGATGTAATTGCACTGGAGGGGGTACTATCAAGATACGATAAAAAACAACTATCGGTATCTTAGTAGCTCGATCCGAACATAGATCTATAGTTTTAGCGCAAAGGGGGAAAGATATATTTACTAATAGCGCAATAGATAGAGCAAGATCGTCTGAATACAACATCATCCTAACGGATGACTTAAATGTATATTCAGATTTGATCAACTTTATCGAGTCGCATCCGCTCGATAGCTCTAATAATGGTGGATGGGCAACAAGGGAAGAGATTGATTTGGTTGTAAGAAGAATAGAAATGGAGATAAAGGAGGAAGTACAGAGGTGGAGAGAGGACATAGAACGGGAAATAGGGAATTAAGAAGTAAAGTTATGAGAATGCAGATTGAGCAGGTGGAGATTCAGAAGGGGCATGTGGTGTTGCAAAGGGAGCTTTTAGAGATGAATAGGAAGACGTATATAATTTGTTTTTTATGTTGTTTTTTGGGTTGTTGTATGTAATCATTTATAATAATAAATAAAAAATCTTTATTAAATAATGGAATATTATTTACTCGTAAGAAATCATTTTTCCGATTCGAATTGTTGATTTCCCTTTTCCAGATATTAATAATTAATATAGTAATAAAATCATATAATTTGAATTTTTCATTATCTAAAGAAATTTCCAAGTTAATAATATTATTATTATGAATAGATTAAAGCCGTTTTCAAGAACATTGGGAAACGCGTCTTTATATCATTATTTTCCCATCTGTCTATCAAGAATGCCATGAGATCATTGAATTGAACTTTATTCGAGATAAGCAATATATTTAAATTAGCTGAGGCAATTTATCTATGATAATAATAACGTTCGTTGCATCCTGTGTTAAGAAACTGAACGTTAGAACTTTATTTTTTATTATTATGTACTATGTACATTGAGTCAAGACAAGGAAATTATCTATAACAATAATGGTCAGACATTACATTCACGATACACTGACGATAGTTCACGATACACTGATGATACCCCAACAATAGTTTACGATACCCCAATGATATTAATCTCCACGAGCTTGCTGCCAAAATTGGTAAAAATTGTCATGGGAGTTTTAAGTTTTGCATCATTATCATACGTACAAAATATACACGTAGTAAAAATACTGTTACATCAACAGAGTATCAACATATATCAGAAGTGGATACATTGTCAAGCAGGAAAGTTCATGCGTGTAGACATTAGTAGTAGATGGTTGGATAATTAGTGGACGTGTATTGCTAATTGGGAATTATTATTATCGTTTGTCATCATTAATCATGCAGATCAACATTATAGTCTATTACTATACCATTTCTCAAGACTGGTGTAAACTGCGTGCTTGGCGTTTTTACCTTTTCAGAATACTTACCACACCCGTATTTGCCAATCCTGATCGTTATTTTATATCTCTCTGTTTATGCCCAAGTAACTTAGACGATAATATAATAATGTGATTCAAACAATGCTTGTTAATATTTTCTTGTTGACTTTAGCTATAAATCGATAGATAGCATTTTAACCTTCTTCTTTACAAGTCTCATACTTTCCTTCACTGCTAGTGCTTTGTCGCAACTCACGTTTATAATTGTTCGACACAGGGACCCCATATTTTGATCAGTAGTGATGAGACGTAACGCCTCAATACTATGCTTCGGCTCCAACCGCCGCGTTTTTGGACGGCTGTTTGCATTTTTTGTACAATCCTTTACGTTCGAATCAAAGACAAAAACACCGCCTAAACCCTCTAAACGCAAAATTAAATAATTGCGTAAATTCTCACTCAAACAATTTTCTTTTAACAGGATAAACAACTGAAAAACACAGCCCTTATTCAGCACAATTAGCGGCTGAGGAGATAATGAAAATATTCTCACCGAAATTCAAAAAGACATCCGGGAAATAGAGTCGGAATTAAACAAAGAGCCTAAAATTACCGAAAAGGAACCACAAAATTCCTCGAGTTTGCTCGTCGACAATCTAACTTATCTGAAAAAGATAAAAACTTAGCCGAGGCCAAATGAACTGATGTACCAATTTTTTATTGAGAAATTGCCGACAATAAGTGGGATAGATATTCTAATTTTGATCGCCAGTTCACCACCTCGTGAGAAAATTCTGATTAAATCGTGTCACATTATCAATACTAATATAAATAATCAGGTTATTGCTAAGTATTCGCCATCAAAATAGTCTACATTATCACAAACAAACTGTGTAGAAGAATTCCAGAGGAATGCAAATCGGAGTAACGGTAGTAGTCCGATATTATTTAGTATTAGGTTATTATTATTAAAATGCTCAACGTTGTATGTTACCTGTATTTGGTCGCACAGCAATTAACATGTGCGAGTATCATACAATAAGATGTTAGAAGCAATTTCTATGCTGTTGTTGTTATCAACATTTCATATCCACAACAGTATATATTGTTATACTAATACATCTTTTATCACCATGACGATTACTATTATTAAATAATATGTGTATGATTATGATTAGTTGATTGCAATTTATTTATTTGTTATATGCCTCTAATATCAAGTGGTATTTGTAAATTAATAAATAAATTTGTCATCACTATTACTGAATGGCCATGTAGTAGTAGTATAATATTAATATTAATATTAATATTAATAAATCTAAGCAAGCAAATTATGAAGCTGATGATTTCCTATCCTTTTCTTTCTTTTGTCTAACTCTTTTTACATTGTCATACCAACAATCTCCAACCTTTTTCTTGGTCCATGAACTGTCAATCTGATATAATGCTGTGTATGCTTCTTCAACAGCTTCTTTTGGCAACTTATTATTATCTCCATTGTATGTATACAACTTGCTGAGGATTTCTTGCTCTGCAGATGAGATTTCCTTCTGCCTCTTACCTGGTCTTATGTATTCTGGGGCATCAGTGGTTTGTACAGTCGACCTCCCATACAGTCACCTCCCATACAGTCACCTCCCATACAGTCACATTTGCTTACAGTCACACATTTGTTC